AAGAGAAATTTACAAATATGGATAAGATGAGGAAGAATGTTGTAGTGATGGATTACAGTTAGAGACAGCAGCATGAACTCATGTTTGTTCCAGGCACACCAAGATAAAAGCAGTTCAGAGTACTGGCCTGAGAACACGGATGGGTTAGACACCGTCCAAGCTCTTACTACTCACTGAGAGTCCTTAGAAACAATGACCGCCCAATAGGAACCAACATCTAGTGCCACGTGCTCACTTTCCAATACCATTCTCTGGACTGGAACAGTGAGAACTATACAGGACAAGCTTGGAGTATCATGTAGTGGCTGAAAGTAAGATATCACTTAAAAACCAAACAAAAAAGCAAATTAACACACAAAAAAATAGCAACATGCTACCGAAACAGCTCCTATAGCGAAAACAAGAGCCTAAGCAACAAAATAAGTAACACTAGAAATGGATTATAATCCTAAGTAAAAAATAAATATTTGAATTCTTCTTGATAAAAAAACTGATTAAACAGAGAAGAGAATCTTCCATACAGATTTCAAATAATACACGTAGATTGTATCCTGTCCCACTCCTACAAGTGTAGGCTGATACCTTTCATCCTATCGTAGTTTGCATTTGATGACTCATTTCCAAAGAATACTATGAAAGGAGAAAATGGTCATTTCTGGAGACACCTGGCAGATACTGTCCTAAACAAGTGATCAAGGGACACATTAACAGTGATGATGCAATGCATCGGGCACTTCAATTCTGTGACACATCCTCAAGCCCACTACTCAAATCCAGTAATACGAAAACAAACCCAAATGTATAGATCTGGATCCTGGGACAAAAAAAGGAAGTAGTGGGAAAACAGGGAAATTCAAATACTCTGTGGTTAACAGAGTTTTATATTGATATAAATATGTATTAGTTTTGACAATGTACAAAGAAGTCAATATTCAGGGAAGAAAGATGCAGAATATAAGAATATTACACTACCTTTGCAAATTTTCTGTACATCTAAAATTATTTCAAAGTAAAAGTATATTTAAAAAATATAATTGCAACAGGTAGCTTTGATATTAGTGATAAATTTTCTATATACTTCCATGGTTTCTTGTTTTAATTTTTAAGATAAAACTGAACTGTAAACAGTATTACAAAACCCAGCCTTAGCTATCATCACTACTGTGAAGGACACCTGGACACTACAACATTGCTAAAATGATTCCTATGAATTTTATAAGGAGACTGGGAAGGATCACCCCCCCCCCAAGTAGTATCCTCTTCTACAAGTAGAGAAGGAGCAAGATTTGGAGTCTAGAAGAGCCCTATCATGAGGAGATCAGCAAGTATTATTAGGAAATAGGCATCAGACAAATTCATCCCTAAAACCTGTGATTAACAGTCAGACCATAGGAATTTAGATCACACCTACATGAGAGAAAAGTAGGAACAAAAGACCTAGTGGGGGGAGCATGTACTTTCCATAGCAAGTGAGTATGAATTAGAAAATAAAGAAGGAAGCATAAAAAGACTTCAGGTCATCCCTGGGTCCACAAAAGAAGGACACCAAAGAGCTGCTTTTTCCCCCCTTATGTTATGTTGTTCCTATTGTCAAAAACAAAGCAAAAAAACCCTTTAGCTGATATTATTTTAGCTACATAGATTAAACAAGTTTTATTTTTATTTGATAACCTGAGATTCTCCTGTTTACAGCATTGTTTCTATAGAGTGCATTTTCAACATCCCCAATAATTGCCTTATGCCTTACATGTGAACTTTGGAAATTAATCCATCCCACTTTGTAATTTATAGTAATACTATACTTTTTTCCGAACTCAGAACAACCTTGTGATGTAGAGAGGTATATATTATTGTGAGCATTTTATCAGCAAAAAGACTCAAAAGCAGAAAGATCAAGCCATTTACAAAGTTCTACAGTGACCAGACATAAGGAATGGCTCCAGTTACTGGAACTTGAAATTTGTGGCTCTTTCTCTGACATACTTAATGGACTAGCAAAACAAAATAAACACAAGAAAGAAGTGTGCACACACAATACAGCCCAGATAGTATGGCCCTGAAATGGAAATAAAAACAGAATCTTCATTTTCCCATGAGTAAACTGTAACTTCAGAGCCTCATCATTTGTTAGTTTGGATTATCTCCAGTACAGTACAGAATAATTCCTACCTTAGCTGTTACTTTCACTATTTGACAAGCACTTAATATTTTATGAACCAAAATTAAAACAGCAGGGGCTTCTGTGGTTGGCTCATTTTCTGAAAAGCAAACAATCTACAAATAATTCTAAATAAACAGCCTTCAATTCATATACTTTGTAAGTTTTAAATATGAATCTGATACTTTTTTCTCTAACAAAGACAATTCTTTGGTTAAATCTCAATTAGTCAAACAAAAGAACACAACTTTGATGGGGAGTTCAAAACCATGTAAACCATGTAATCTTTCCCTCTGCATCAGTTCTAACAGAACATGCAGGTCCCTCCCTCCCTCTGTGAGGGTACTGATCACTGGACCTCACACTTGCTAGGCAAATACACTACCACCACAAAGCTTCCTCCTCAGTCCCTCAATATATTTAAGGATACAAAAGTACAGCACTCACATTAATAACACTCACGAATTCCTACAGTCTGGAGGGGAGACAAAGATACCCGGGCAGGGCATGCAAAGCAGTTTACACAAAGCCAATATGCCTGCGCTACTCCTTATCCTTACCATAGGCTTGTTGTATGAAAATTACTGTATTAAACATGATACCAGGCTGGGGATATAGTTCAATGGACAGGGGCTGCCTGGCAAGTGTGAGGTCTGGAGTTTGATTCCCGGTACCAAAAAAAATAAAATAAAATCTCCTAAAGATAATACCACAGTATTCTTCATATTACTATTCTTCATATTACTTCAAAACTGGCTTCAAAAAAAAAAAAATTAAACATCAATCTTGCGATGCCCACACATCTGGATAGAATTAAACCACTCCAGTCCAAACACTACACAAAAGTTACTCACCATTGGAAATACGTGACCTATCCTTAAGACATATCCATTGTTTTACTCTGTTGTTTCTGAAACCTCCACTATGATAAAATCTCTCTGATTCGTGAACTAAAAAGGGGGAAAAGCTAATTTGATTTAACAAAACAATGTACATCAAAAAGAACTTACATAATTCACAAAGTTAAAATACTTTTAAAAATTACTACAAAGTGCTGGTTCATCTAATCAAGACCTTGCTATGTTTATGTGACTATTTGACCTCCATGTCCTAAAAGGTTAAGGATTTATACTCCCCATGTGAGTATAAATAACCTTGCAACCTGAGTCTCTTTAGGTATTTTGCACCTTAAACGTCTTCTGTTTTGTGTCTCACTCCAGAGCAAGCCAGATTATAAAATAAACTGAAATTTTAAAAATTAAAATGTCAAGTACATGTGGGTATATGTGTATCACTGCTAAAATCCTCGATTTGCAGACTAACACAGGTACAAGCGCTCTCACTGGGCTGAGTGCTTTCACTTCCAGCTAACAGAAGATGCAAATTTACCAAAAGATAAAGACTGTACTACTTTGGACACTAAAGAACAAATATCCCACACTATGTCTCTTTCTAGTTTTGACACTATTAACAGTAAGAAATTTTGAAAGTGTATAAAGTGGGGGCTGGGGATTTAGCTCAGCGGCATAAGCGCCTGCCTTGCAAGCAGGCAGTTGTGAGTTCAATCCCTGGTACCGATAAAAATGAAAAAAAAAAAAAAAAGAAAGTGTATAAAGTTATCTAAATCACAGCTCTACTATTTTCAAGCCATTTCTTCTAGTGGAGATAAAGTTTGCAAAAATCTTCACAGACCAAAACATACACTTAATAATAAAGACTGTCCTTAAATTTCTATCATCTACCCTGAAATCTTCCCAAATACAGTATACTTTTTCCCTTTAATATTCTCCTATAATTCCCAAGATCTCTTTAAAATACAGTAACCAAAACTGGACATGCTACTCAAAAAAAGAGTGAACTATTTTAAAAAATAAAAGGCTTTATTTGTGACCTTGAATGCCAGGGTCATTTAAAAATACCTGAGTGTTACATGTTGACTCTTACTGACTCATCCTCAGCTTGTGGCTATCCACGAGTGTGGCTTTCTTCGCTCTGTATTTATACCTAACCTCTCCTCTATCCTCTATTTATATGGTTGTACTTTTTCTTTCCACATACCACTATGCACTTAATTCAATAAATTTCATGCAGTTTTCATAGATCCACTTATCACTTTATACTGAAACAATTAATTATGTAATTTATAACTGCTAGTTATGACTTATAAATGTTAAGATATGAAAGTACATAATAATTTAGTACAACTACTATAGAAATCAGCATGGAAATTCCTTAAAAAACTAACACTAGAAATTCAGTTTGACCCAGTTATTCCCCTGCTAGGAATCTTCCCAAGAATTAAAGATATCACACATTCATACCCATGTTAATAGCATCACATAACTGCTAAATCTCAGAATCAAACTATTTGTGCATTAACAATCAACAGATAAAGAAAATGTGGTATTTATACCCAATGGAATATTACTACGTCAAATAAAGACAAATTTGTGTCATTTTTAAGAAACTGGATGCACCATGAGTCCATTACGTTAAGTGAACTATATTAGACACACAACCTTAAATATTACATGGTTTTTCATATATTGAGAAACTCAAAATATAAATAAATAGCAAAGTAAAAAAATAAATAATATGTAGGATAATAGATCTTTCTCAAATAGGAAGGGGATCAAGAGATGGAGTAAAGAAAGGGGTGAAATGAAATGAAAAAGGAAATTAAAATGTGTTATATACATGAACCAATTCCCCACAACAAATGTACACATTACTGCAAACATGAACTAATGAAAAATGTTTTAAAAATAACCAACACATATTACAATTTGTAATAAGTAGTGGAACTAAGGACATCATAATACTCTTGTCTACTGAAACCTACCTCTCCTGGATGATCACTCTTAATCAGTGCTATACGCGCCCTTTGCAAGGAACCATGCATTAGTTTATGAAGTCGTAAAATTAACTTTCTTAACCCCATCTGCTTCAGTGCTTTGTCTACAAATGGTCTATAAATAGAAGTCAGACAATGTTTACTGAAGCCTGCTTCGGTACTGTACTCCGCTGCTCCCCAGCCCACAGGCTCCTCTTCAGACTCAAGCCTCTCAAGCTTCTTGGATGCACAGTCGTGCAACTGAACATCCAAACGGTTGTCTATGGATGTCCTGATTTCTGATACCCCTGGATCAGAGCTGTGTTCTTCATCACTTTCATCCATACTACTTTCCAACTCTTTTAGTCGTCCCTCTGTGTAACAGCCTTCGTCTTCCGGATCATTACCTTTGGATGGTCGAGGGGAAGGGATTTCAAACACTGGCCAGCCAATATCTGATAAATTCTTGATGCCCAAAACAGTACCCATAATCCTTAATTTCTGATTTAAGTCTTTTGTGATATTTAACCACAAACAGAGTGCCTGCACTCTGTCCTGGAAGTCTTTTGCAGCATATTTTTCATAGTCCTTTTGGAGAGCCTGCAATGATGGATAAAGTGCCTCTATGTACTCTAGCAGCTCCATTATCCGTTTTACCTGCTCAAACGAGACCCTCTGACGCTGGAGATGCTCATGGTAAGATGAGTAACCCACGTTCTTTGTTCCATAAGGGGCTTGGTGTGGCCCTTCTACTGAAGTACCATTGAAACTTGCTCCATTTCTAACAAAGGGAAAACTCCCATAGTTAACTTTGAAAGTAAGGATTTCATTGATAATATCTGGGATGGCCTGTCGGGCTGTATATAAAAAGAGGTCCTGATCATTAATGGTCCGTCCTGCATGCCAGGCTTGCAGCTCTAACCAGATCAGTTCATTTGATCGGTTAAACCAAAAAGCAGATGTATTTTCTTGCCCTCTTTGCTCCCTGTCCTTCTTCTTTGAGACTGAGGTAAGCTTTAGCAAAAGTCGTAATGTTTCAAAAAACTTTAAACGATCTGCTGGACAGTCAGTTCTAGAAGTCTGCCGTGCAGTTCTGGCTATAGGCATGGGTACAGAGACAGGAATCTTAGCGTTGCTACAGCCAAGGCTGAGGTAAGGTTTATTGAGATCTACATCTGGAATTGACTTTTTTGGCAAAGACCCACTGACTGAGTCTAACATGAACGAGCACTGTACATTTTTCTTGTGATCACGCTCTGTTGTTCTAAGAGTTGCTCGAATCTTTTTCTCTTGCTTGTAGCTGTATTCTTCCACGTTCTCTACTGCTTTTCCAGTGTCTTTATGTGGAGGCTGATTTGGTGCATTCATTTTTTCTATTAAAAAATAAAAAGAAAATATTATATAACCCTAAAATATGAAGCCATTCAACATTTTCAGTAAAACTGATATTCACATGTACTTGCGTCTCAAGTGGTTGTGAAAAATATCAGGCTGAGAATGAAAGGAATCAAACAACACATGCTAACATTTTTTCTCTACATTTTAAAAAAGATTTTATCTATCATTCTCACCATCATATAAGTAATCACCTTCAACTTAAGAAGAAAGGAATATCATGGGAGATCTGACAGAACCATGGGTTAAAAACTTACCTAATTCCTACCTTTGTCATGAAATGGATGTGTTAACTTTAGACCAAATCATTTTGCGGCCATTATTCACTAAGATTATTTCCATAAAAAGATGAAAGACAAACGATAAAATGAAAACTACAGCCTTAGTTTATTTTATTCCTTGACTTCTTTGTACAAACAAATGAGTGGTAACATTTTAAATTTAACAGTAACACAACTGAAGACATTAAAATCCAGTGTAACTTCCTAGTCTAACTTTATGTGAACATAAAATTCTTCCAAATTCAGGCAAAGTAATGCACAGTTCCTTCAAACAACTAGTTTTATTCATTTAATTACAAGCTTTGGAATGAACACACATATCTTCCTTCTTGTCTAGCAAGACACACTATTACCAGCTATCTATTTTATTAAAGTATTTCATTTTACTGTTTCCTAAATACAATTGCCTATGAATTCTCTTCTATTCAAGCCATTCATTTTTACCCCAACCCCACCTTAGAACTTTGTATCACTTCTAGTCTTAATGTGCTTCTCCCAGGTAATTATAATCAGTAACACCCAACATAGAGCATTATCCCAATCTCCTCTATACTCAGAATACACTACATTTCTTCGAATAATCTAGGGCAGATTATTTTCCCACGTTAACAACTTTGAGGTAAAAAATGTTATGTAATCAATGGTGACCTGAATAAGTTTCAGGCCCACACTCATCAATATATTTCATTTATGTAAATAACAAAGACCTTTAGGTGGGCACAGTAGTACACATCTGTAATCCCCTCACTGGGACAACTAAGGTGGGGTAATCACTACAAGTTCAAAGCCAGCCTGTACTACAGTAAATTCACATCCAGCCTAAACCACATAGAAAGACCCTGTCTCAAAACTAAAAGTATTGGACTCTTTAAATAAATAAAAATTCTAAGAATAGTGTCATCAATTATAATCATTTTTCTTTTTAGTACATAACATTATAGTGTCTTTAGATATGACAGAATAGGGTATTATTTACAAGTTACAGAGTAACATATTGGCAACCAATGCATTTTAGAAAATTTGTTTGAAATCAATTTACCTCATAATCGATTTAAAAATAAGGATTTTAAAACAAATTTTCCTGAGAGCACTAACAGGCTGATTTACCTTACATTCAAATTATATGAAACATAATTTATGATCAAAAAGGATTTTTAAAAAATCTGTCTATAGGGATTTTGTTACATTTTAGTACAAAAATTATTATTGCTATTTTACCTTACATTCAAATTATATGAAACATAATTTATGATCAAAAAGGATTTTTAAAAAATCTGTCTATAGGGATTTTGTTACATTTTAGTACAAAAATTATTATTGCTATTCCTCATTCATAAAACAATTTGCCTAGGGCCAGGGATTTAGCTTAGCAGTGTGTAAGTACCTGCCTAGCAAGCATGAGGTCAAAAAAAAAAAAATTGCCTAGGCCAACATTTAAATTACTTCTTTGCTTTGTCTAACTCTGTGTTATGTACACCTTCATTAACAGAGCACTTGCGTATCATTCATTTCTGTTTAGTTAAGCAATGATATTTGGGGAAAATGACAAATGGTTTTAAATTTCAAGACACTAAAAATACTATTTTTTAAAAATATTAATCATACTATACTTTGTCATTAAGACAACACAGACTGCTATATACACATATAAAGGCACAGGTAGAGATAATGAATTTACTTTCTAACACACTAAATTAGAGGTACCCAAAGGACAACCATGTGGAAATAAATGTCTGACAGTAACTAAAATACAGGTGTTAAACTCTGCAGATAATTTCAACAATCTGAATTTGAAAATCACATTTATACACAGATATTCTCTAATACCAACATAGAACATACAAACACTCATGCAAAGTAAAGAGAAGCACTAAGACAGTGTTACATAATTAGCATGGAAAAGATAGTCATTAGCACCCCCCCCCAAGAAAAACTTCTGTGACAAAAAATTAGTTTGGCTAGTTTAAGGTTTATGATTTTAAAAATCATAAAACTAATGTGGTATAGTATTACTGATAATGGTCATCGAATATTTGGACATACAAGTAATTTATAATTTGAATCTAACAGTGAATAGTAAAGAAGCATATATAATTTATTGATGTTCTATGATTTAAACATACTAAGTAAAGCAGATAACTGAGACTAGCTAGGATGACCTTAATAACTTTTAAAGACTGGCTATAAGCATCATGTTTGAATCTATTATATTTACCAAGTGAAAAAATCATGAAAATAATGAAATAAGGCTTCTCAGTCTAGATCTTTATGTTAATAATTAAAAGATTCTAGGTAGGAAAAAAGGTCATAATCTTATTTTTCTAAATAGAATAATCTTATTTTAGCAGGCCTAAAAAACTATCTGTAGTTCATACCATATATACACAAGCCTTAAACATACCTTACACTATACAAAAAGAGTGGATATATTATATAATGCTCTGAAATTTGTACTGACATAAAGCAGCAATTATTTGGATGTATAGTATATATAAGGAAAATCAACTAGGAATCGAACAAGATGGGACAGAGCTTATCTCACCCTCCCCAAAAAAGGAAATTCGTTTCGGGAAAAAATTACAAATTAACACTTCTTAGTTTAAATGATGATGCAATTCAAACTTAAAATAGACTTAAAATCCTAAGTCACTGCGCAAATATATAGACACAGACACACACAATAGCTGTATTTTTCAGATAATGTATGTATGATAGTATGAGTAAACACACATGTTCTTATTTTTTATTTTTTGGTAATAATAGGGATTGAAACCAGCAGTGTTTGACCACTAACCTACATCCCCAGCCCTTTTAAACATATTCACAATGTGGCTATAATTCGTTTGTCTTGCTATGGGGTCTGATTTAAATTTCACTTTCTGATATTAAAGAGCTAATCTCCAGTGGTTCAAGCCAGAGGGAACATGTTAATTTAAAACAAGTCCTACTAAGCTCCTCATCTTGTGATCATCCTGCTGCAGATCCCGAGTAACTGGTATTATAGGCACGTGCCACTGTGTGTAGCCAGAAGTGTGATTGCTAGCAACTGATGACAAGGTAGACTTCTACAAAATCACAAGGGATCTATTAAAATTTAAGAAAAACATTAGGGTGTTTCAAGAGGTATACAGGCTTCAACCTAGAAATTTCCTCAAGCATTACAAATTTTATCTTTAGCACTCTAATACACATTAACAAACTTTTAATACACTGTAAGTACATTACTAATGCACAGGTTTGTTTGTTCAGTTTTCTATTACGTTTAAATCTCCGTGCAATTAATAAAAAGTCAAATATAAAGACAGCTTCTGAAAGGAAAGTATTAAAAGTACAGTAGTTACGGAATGTTTTGTTGCAACTTTTAGTTATAATACTACTAAAAAACTAGTTCGTCATCAATTAAGATAAACAGAATATCTGATCTCTTGTGCTCATAAATTAAATGGTGTGATTTCTATAGTACAATGAAAGCAAACCTCTGCAATACTTTTCCTCCATTCAACCACTAATAATTCCTGTCAAATCAGAAATCATGAAAAATGTTTAAAAAAAAACTTTGTAAATAAACTGAAAGCAGCCTATAAGCAATATGGTTCATGTTTAAACAGATATAATTTCAACTGAATTTCTACCACCCAAACCTAGAAAAAGTTCCTTGGATATGTATAGAATGTACTTTTAGTCAAGTTCTTATAACTTCTATTTTCTCTCATTCGTTTATTGTCCAAAATTCAACATACTGGGGTCGAGCTCTCACGTGAAAAAGCACGAACAAATACATGATCTTTATCTGTAAATCTTAGATGATCACTAGAGTAAGAGTGCCCTACAATATCAAACAATGCTAACAGTATGAAGGGGCTTAAAGTTATATGTAAAGTTGTCACATTTCTGCATATGTTAAGAATCACTGAAGTCCTGTTAACATGCATATTCCTGGGGGCCCTTCCACTGTCTCCAACACAGCTAGAAAGGCACTCATTTTGGAAAACACTGCTTTTTCCAATTCCTTAATTTACTAGGTAAGGCTTGACAGAAATTGTCGTAATTCTCATAACAACAGTATGATGAAGATTACCACAGAGCTCAGGCAGATGGTACCTGGAATCCTAGCCCATAGTTGTGTCCTTCTACCACCCATACACACCTATCAAAGTTACTCCCAAGTCAGTAGTGAGTGACCAAGGAAAGGCTAAAATACCAAATGCCATAAAAAACTGACTACTGTGCACTAATTAGTCTGTAAAGACTTATAGTAAGAGCAAAAACTTGACTTCAGGTCTTGAAGAATGGTTTCAACATAAAATAAGGGTAGCACAGTGCCTGATAATTTCAGCACTTCGTAGGCTAAGGCCGGTGGTTCACACCAAGTGCAAGGCCACCCTAGGTTACAGAGTGAGCTCAAGGCCAACCTGAATGGTGAGGCCCTGTCTCAGGGAGGGAAAAAAAACATAGTAACAAGAAAAGTGAAAAAAAAAAAATAGATATTTTAAACCAGTAAAGAGGAGGAGCATGAAAAAGCAAAGGGAGAAGACAAAAGTGTGGCTAGAACAAAAGTCTGTGTATCGATAGCCTGGAAACACAAGTGAAAACCTGGAGATCAGGCAGGGTTTAGACTAAAGGGGAATAGGCCTTTTAAAAGACAGCTTGGGCTTCCCTGAAGACACCTACCTGCCATGACTGGGGCTGTGCACCCT